GAAGCTAGCTAGACAAAGATATCACAAGAATAAAAATTACAGACTCACATCCCTCATGAAAACAAACGCAAAAATCATCAACAAAATCTTAGCAAATCAAATCCAGCAACATGTAAAAAAGATCATACATCATGACCAATGGACATTAATCCCAGGAATGCAAGGTTGGTTTAGTAACTGAGTTTAATGTAGAATATTAAAAAAGACCAAAACTACATGATCATCTCAACAGATACAGAGAAAGCATTTGACAAAATCCGAAACTAATTCAGGATAAAAACCTCTAATAGAAGGAAACTTCCTCACGTGATAAAGAGCATCTGCCAAAAAGCTACATCTATTTAATGGTGAAAAACTGAATGCATTCCCCCACCTTAAGTTTGGGAACAGAGGAAGAATGTTTGCCCTTGTGGACTTCTAATAACATTGTACTTGAGGCTATAGCCAGTTTAATAGGGGGAAAATTTTAAACATCCAGCTTAGAAAGGGAGAACTTAAATTGTTTTTACTTGATTATTCTGTATGTGTGAAAATCCCAAAGAATCCACACACCAAGAAACGTACTAGGACTAATAAATGAAGACACAAGGTGAAAACCAGTGCATTTGTATGTACCATCAACAAGCAGTCTAAAAAGGAAATAGAGTAATTTTGTTCACAGTAGCTTTAAGAAGATTAAAATACTGAGGGATAAATTTGACAAAAGAAGTGCAGGACTTGATACAGTGAGAACTGCAATTTGCTGGGAGAAATGAAAGTCTAAATAGAGAAATATTCCATATTCATAGTTTGGAAGACTCAATATTCTTTAAGAGGGCAGTTTTCTTTAAATTGATCTATAGGTTCAATGCAATCATGTCAAAATTCCAGCATTTTTTCTCAGTAATTGATAAACTCACTCTAAAATATATACGAAAGGGACTCAGAATAGCCAGCACAATTTTAAAAAAGAATGAAGCTGAGGGGCTGCCATATCGTGATTTCAATACTTACTACATAGTTACAGTGATGACAACAGTATGATGCTAGTATAAGGAGAGATACAGATGAATGGAACAGAACTAGAAGTCTAGAAATAAACCTTTAATTTCCTGCTTTATTGATTTTTGACCAAGGTCCCAAGGCAAGTTCAATAGGGAAGGACAGTCTTCAACCAGTGGTTCTGGGGCAATTGGATATATTCATAAGGGTGAGTTTCGATCCTTACCTGATACCAGGTATAAAAATTAACTAGAAAGTATAAAAAGCCTACAGTGTAAGAAAGCTTCTCCATAAAAAGGAGAAAATCCCTAAGACCTTGGATTCCTAGGAAAAGAGTTCATAGGTAGAGATAGCACCAAGAGCCCGATCCGAAAAGACAAAAATGATAAATTGGACTTCATCAGAAGTGAAGTCTTTTGTACTTCAGAAGATACCTTTAAGAAGATTAAAAGACAAACCAGTCTGGGAGAAAACATTTGTGAATCTTGTATCCGATAAAGGAATTGTTAAAGAACTCCCGTAACTCAATGGTAAGAATATAACAAACGACCTAGATTTTTAAAAGGAAAAAGGATTTTAATATACATTATACCAAAGAAGACACAAGAATCACTAAAAAGCACCTGAAAAGATGATCAACACTATTACTCGTTAGAGAAATTCAGATTAAACCATAACGAGCTACTACTTCATACTCACTGTAATGGCTATAATAAAAAAAATTAATAGTAACAAATGTTGGCAAAGATATGGAGAAACTGGAACCCTCATGCACTGGTGGGAATACAAAGTGGTGCAGCTGCTTTGGAAAACTCTTTAGCAGTATCTTTAAAAGTTAAATTAACCATCCTACCCAGCAGTTCCCCAAAAGTCATGAAAACAGGTCTACAACAACTTTTGCACAAATGATCAGGGCAGCATCATTTGTAATAATCAAAAGCTCGAAACAAGCCAGTGCCCAGCAGCTGGTGAATAAACAAACACATGGGCTTTTCAGCCAAAGAAAGGAAGTACTGATTTGCACTACAACATGATGGGTAGGCCTGGAGGGCAGTGCGCTGACTCCGAGAGACTAAATGCAAAAGACTATAAATCCGACAACTCCATTCGAGTGTAAAGGTAAATCTACAGAAACAAAAAGCAGATGGCTGGGGACTGCTGGGGCGGAGTGACTGCAAATGCGCACAGGTATCTTTCTGGGGTGGTAGAAGTGTCATAAACAGGATTGATGTACAGTAATCTTGTACAACTCTATAAATATAGCAAAAGTAATTCAAGTAATTCAGTTTTACACTTAAATTGGGTGAATTTTATGGCATTTAAATTGTACCTTGATGAATCTGTTTAAAAAGACAAGGTGGGTAGTGAGGGGACGGCTGGCCCTCTTCACTCTGTCTTGCTACCAACGCCACATCGTGGTAACAGCATCTGACTCCACTGTTGAGGATATTGGAGCTCACCAAGCATCAGTTACCTAATCAAAGTCTCCCAGAAATTGAGTTGCCAAGAATTAAAGGTCATAAAAGATACATAGTGATTAAAATCTGATTGATTGATGAGGAGAATTGATTTGAACATCATATTAAGGTAATACATTCTAGTGCTCATATCACATTTGTATGGAGGACACCCAGAAAAAACAACTTTGAATAGTTTCTGGAGTCATCTTCCCGTAGGCCAGCCTGAAGTTCACATTTGAGATGTATACATACAGGATTTTAAGACCGTAAGACTGAAGGGTCTGAATTTGGTGGTAGAATGGGAAGAAAAGACTATGTTAAGACTTTGACCTCAAGATATGGGGTCTTATGAAAATGGGCAATCTCAGTTTTAGAACTTTGAAAAGCAAGTAATGCCCATAGATAAAATCAGGTTAGTTAAGTGAGAAATTGGTCTAGAAAAGATGGAAAGTACATTGAAGTTGTTTAGCAATCGAAGAGATATGAGGAAAGATGTTGACCTTTCTGCAGGAGGGGCAGGACTTAGGAGGAGGGGGTCAGAGTGACGCGTGTGCATGACCCTTCCAAGCCTGGGACTCAGCACAGCACCACGCAGCTGTGGAGACCGAGCTGACAGATTTAGAGCTGAAGAAATAGTGGAACAGTGATCACCTGTACCCACAAAGATGTAACTGTATTTAGGGGCAGCAGTGATAGGAGGGGTATTACACAGGGTGGCGCTGGCGGGGTGGGAAGAGTGGAGGCAGTACGGAAATAAATGGTGTCTGGTTTTCTCCCAGCTCCGTGGTATGTGGAAGAACCGTCCTCCCTAGAAATGAAGCAAGAAGACAGTTAATTCCAGGTGTCCTTCGCGTAGACCGGAGGAAGGCTTCGAAATAGATTTTTAGGACAAAACTGCCTTACTTTGTAATAAGGCTGCTGTGAAAGACGGGAGTCGTATGCGAGATTTTATCATGAAAAAGTTATTTTACACAGCGTCTTTTTTCCAATATATGTCTAGGTGTGAAATACTTACTTTGATTGACCTAGTTCTTCTGTAATGTATCAAGTCTTTTATACCTCACAGAAGCGTTACATTGAAAACTTACAGATGCTGTTTGTCTTTTCGAGTTCTCTATCCTGAGAAAATGCCACTTAGGTTCTGCTTTACAAGTATACGTGGGTGATTGTGCCCTAGCACATAGTGTCGGTAGTAAGTCCCAGCTTATACTGGGAGCCAGTTAGGCGGCCAGTTTTATGCTGTACAGCATGGCCTGTAACTAGAATAGGCCTGTTCTGTGCTGTCTTTTATAGGCAGCACCACAGTTACACCTTCCGCTGGCATCTCCTGCTTTGTAGAAGGTCATCCTATGATTGCCTCATGAGTCATTTCTATTTTAGGCAAAGGGACTTAACATTCTTTAAGTCACACTTGCCTCTGGGACCCAGCAGGTCTAACTTTTAGATACATTTTAGACCTGTGCTTTGCAGTGTGGTAAGCATTAGCCACACGTGGCTTTGAGGCACATAAAGTGTGACTCGTTCAACTTGAGATGTGCTCATGTAAAATAACACCATTTTCAGAGACTTAGTATGAAGAAAAATAATTCTTTTTTTTTAATGTTTAAGTGATAGTATTTTGGATATATTGGGTTAAATAGAATATAATATTGAAATTTCACTTACGAAATTTCTTTTTGCTACTTTCGATGGGACTACTAGAAAATTCTTAACTACATGTGTGATATTTCTGTTGAACAACATTGTTTTCAAACTAAACAATCCAAGTGAATGTGTTTCAGTTTTCATTAATGGTATTTTTAACATCAATTAGCCGTTTGTATCCAAATGTTTACTGTTTTGAAGAGAACTTGGGGCGTCTTGATTTTTTTTTAAGGCCTCTCAAATAACAGTTTTCTAGATCTTCCTTTCTCATGCTGGCTTTGATGAGAGTCATACTTTCATTGTATGTTGTTGTTTCCATAAGTAAGAAAATGTATACACTATAGGCTTTTGGGCAGCTGCTTTTCACTGCAGAATGGCTTAAGTTTTCTAATGCAAAGGAAGGCACGTAGACACACGCTTGAAGTTATTTTCATACTATTTCTGCAAATGTTGTTATGGACACTTACTTTAGAAAAATATGTAGCTTTCAGTTTTTCTTGCCTTCATTGTTTTTTTTTTTTTGGTGTTTCTATAGGGACTACTAGGGGATTTCTGTATGAAAATGCTTTTCAGAAGCAGGGGTTTTTTGCTTTTATGTTCCTCCCTCCCAGAGCAGTTGTATTCCTAGAGAGTGTCTGTGATTCTGCCCTTCATTTTTTAAGTAGGAAATTGGAAATGGGATAACTGTTGTTTCATGGTTCCTTTGTTGCTCTTGCCTCTTAAAGTGGGGTTCATGGCTTTAGTTCTAAAATGTTTGCTTTTGTGGCTAATTTCCATTATTACTAAGCGAGTTAATTAAAAAGGACACATTTCGAGGTTATTGCTTGGAGGATTACTCACTCAGTTGGCTGAGTAAATCCACCATTCTTACAGACGCCCTGACAGAGGGCACTTTGTGATGGGATCTCTCTGCAGGCACTACAGACACCACGTCCAGCTGCACGGCCACCGTGATTTCCACAGCGCCTCCGGCCGCCCCAGCCACATCCCCCTCACTGAGTCCCTCCCCGTCCGCCTCGGCCTCCACTAGTGAGGTATCTAGTGCCAGTGAGACCAGCACAACACAGACAACCTCTGCACCCTTGTCCTCGCCTCTCGGGCCCAGCCAGGTGATGGTGACAGCACCAGGACTGCAGACAGCCGCGGCTGCCGCCCTGCAAGGGGCCGCTCAGTTGCCAGCAAATGCCAGTCTTGCTGCCATGGCCGCTGCTGCGGGACTGAACCCAGGCCTGATGGCACCCTCACAGTTTGCAGCTGGGTAAGCTTTGGTTCAGAGGAGAAACATCTAGGAGGTCATCTCTGGAGTTGCCTATAGGGGTGACTTTTCATCACCTTCTTAAATGCATAAAAACAAAGCAAAACTCCAAAGTCACAATCTCTTTGAAATGGGTGGCTCTGTAGCAGTGCAAGGGCCGGCGTATAGCTGGGCTTCGGTTCCTTGACCCCCCGGAAGAGCAGTGATCACAGCTTCATTCCAGCTGAAGACGGGGTACCAGGCCCCGGGTGACACTGAGGGGTGTGCCCGGGAGGAGTCCGCAGAACGCCCGACACATTCACATGTCTGCACTTAGACTCTCAGCTGTCTGCTTCTAAGAATCAGATACCACCAAGAGATACAGTGATGAGGTTCCCAATTTTACTATTATTATCAGACATATAGGAATTACTTTGTGAATATGTCTTTTCTCTGGCATTTTTTCTTTTGGGGAAAAAAGAGTGAAATAATTCAAAGGATCAGAATGTTCAAGTTTGATATTTTGTGCAGATCGCAAGCTTGTTCTGCTTGGTACATGTACGCAGCCAGGAAGACGGCAACTCAGAACAAACCAAGCCGTGTAAGAGTGACGAGGAGTGTGACAGATGTTCCCGCGGGCCCAGCTGTGTCCCTGCACCTTAGGGCTCTGTGGGTGTTGTGGGCCGGCAGGTGTGTGCCCCGTGCTGAGTGACCGCTTTTTTGGCCTTGCAGGGGTGCCTTACTCAGCCTCAACCCCGGGCCCCTTGGCAGTGCCCTCAGCCCGGCCCTGATGAGCAACAGTACACTGGCGACTATTCAAGGTCAGTAGGCTTTGTTTCCTCTCTTAGCTTTTTTTTTTTAATGAAGGAAGTCTGCTCGGCTAGAGGCAAAGGGGATGGGGGGAGAGAGTTGAGTTGATAATGCTGGCTAAGTGGAAGATGAAGAAAATGTTCTTGTATAAAATCTTTGTAAAAGAAGGGTAGCTGTTAGTTTGAGAGTAAAAACAGGAAATATACTTAGTTTGGTGTATTGTGAGAAACCAGGACTTCTGTGCTGATATTTATCTTATGTGGATAGACTTAGAGGTAGAATTTCCTCCTGATAATCTGTTTGTCCAAGTAGTTACCCAAGACCCATCCCCAGGCAGACGTGACCAAGTCAGATTGCCCTCTCCCCAGCCCAGCCCCGAGAGAGCCGTCCAGGCGAAGGTCCTGTAGTGAGTCAGCACTGGGGCACATCATGCAGATTTCAAGAATACTTTTAATTCTTACTAGGTTCTGCCCTTTGTATATTCCCACCATTATAGAGCATATATTCTCCTGGATTCTAAACTCTCTTTTCCAAGCCCAGATGGTTCCTTTGGGCCTTAGCATAATGTCCAGCTGAAAGGAAGCCCCAGTCAGTCGTTGCGGACTGTGAAGAGTCTGCCAGGTTGGCCTGAGCCCTGTGTCTGAAGACACTCGCTGTTCTGTGGTTGGGAGGAGTGGTTTCTGAGGCTGGTAGGCAGTGGATGGTTTTTCTTAGAGTGGTTTGTGCTTCGGTGAGGGTTCCTGGGACCAAAAATAAGCTGTTAGCCATCTTCAGTTAAGATTAGTATTTCATGGTTCATAATCTCTGCAGTATATTGCGGAGAACACTAGTCAGTGACGAGTCCAAGATGTGACCTGGATTATCTTACACTGTGCTGACTTTCTCACTGACTGAATCATATGTGAAATTGATGGCTAGATCTGTAAAGCTTTGGTCATACCGGGTTTCGTTTTGGGGTAAGATGTGTGATAAGTCACTTTTTCTCTTGCCTTAGGGTTTGTTTCTGGGCTGTAGGGATGCTGCAGAGGCACGAGCCTTCCCCAGGGCGCGAGGAGTGCAGGGCAGGGACTCTGGGGAGACTGAGCCCCGGCCTGGCCCCTGAGCCCGGAGTCTCAGAAAACGCCCAGCTGCCCCATGTCTCACTGTTCTCTGCTCTTCTAGGACCATGTCTGGATTCAGGGATGTCCCTTCAGTTCCTCGAGCTTTCCATGTATATATATTATGTAGGAAATCACCAAAATATAATGCCATTAGAAAAACCATCACATCTACATGAGGGAGTGTGGCTATGTGGGTGGGGGCTTATTGGAAATTGTCAGATAACAAGAAAAGATATTAAATGAGAGCCTGATTGTTGCAAAGAAGATTTCAGTGGTGCTTTCTGTGGAGAAGCAAGAGCGTCATAGAAAAATTCTCACTTTGAAAGCAAGTCCTGACCTCACCAGCCCTCCTAGGCACCCGCAGCCCCCGTGTCTGCACTCCTCCTGGGTAGGCTCCTTGGTGCAACTCGTGGAAATCAAATGTTTAGCCTCAGGAAGTGGAAAACTAACCACATTCCGGTTTATTTGCCAGTCTATAATGTATTTTAGAACTTCAGCCTTTTTGAAAGATGGTTTCCTCTTGTGTATCATACTGTGAAGTGCTCACATTTACCAATAATGCCAGTTGGATTGGTGAAAGCTAACTATATTTTCATGCCTTAATCCCTGTAGCTAGTTTGTCTTTTGAATGGAGGTAGTTTAAAATCAGCAATCTTCATTAAAAACAAAATTATTGAACTTAGCAAATACTTCTAGGTAGATGAACTGAAGTTGATATTTTGAGATAAAAATGTCACCGATGTTCTTAACCGCCCTCTCACCTCTCCTGAGCATGCTTATTAAGTAGTTAGATTTTTCAGTCCTTTAGGCTCCTTCAAAATTATGAATGAACTTCAGCCAGTGACAGGATAGCAGTGATTCAGGAGAAGGGCTGCCGGGTTCCCCTCAGGTCACAGGCCTCTGGTCACGCGACGTGTCGTGCAGCCTCCCCAGGATGACGCTAACGTTCTCCTTCCCGCCTGTCGGGGGGTTCTGTCCATAGCTCTTGCTTCTGGTGGCCCTCTCCCAATAACGTCACTGGACGCCACTGGGAACCTGGTGTTCGCCAACGCAGGGGGAGCCCCCAACATCGTGACCGCCCCCCTGTTCCTGAACCCCCAGAACCTCTCTCTGCTCACCAGCAACCCGGTCAGCCTGGTCTCTGCGGCTGCCGCCTCCGCAGGGAACTCGGGGCCCGTAGCCAGCCTCCACGCCGCCTCCACCACCGCCGAGTCCCTCCAGAACTCTCTCTTCACCGCGGCCTCCGCTAGTGGGGCCGCCTCCACGACCACCACCGCCTCCAAGGCGCAGTGAGCCGAGCCGGCTGCCACTTCGACGCTGCGAGCTGCCCGGCCGCCAGCCAGGCCGAGACCGGACAGTGGGGACTGGCTTCTCCGGCCGTGCTGCCAGGGCAACGGAGAAAAGGAAGACGTGTGGATGGAGACGGGACAGCGTTTGCCTAATTTTGTAATAAAACACTGTCTTTTCAGGATTGCTTCATGGATTGGAGAACTTTCTAACCAAAAATTTTAAAAAAAAGGAACAAAAAAATCAAAAACAAACATAAAAAAGTGAAAGGACTACTTATCATTTCCAGCAGTCAGGATGACAAGTCAAGGTGGGTTACCAACTTCAGTATAGGAAGGGGGTTTCTTGTTTGTCTAAATTTCTTTTCTTCTTAAGAAAATCATTTCTATGGGTCTGTTGTACAGGCCATTAAGTCATAACAAGGTGTTTATAATCGTATCAATTGCGTTGGGGGTTCCTTTCTAACTGGTACAATGTAGGCAGGCCTGTATTACTGTATCTCTGTTATTATGGTTGTTGTTACTGTTTTTTTATATATATATATATAGTTTGGACATGTTTATCTCTTGCTCCTGGATCCTGTTTCAGTGAGCTCCCACACTGTGGGGAGGGAGGGTTTGGGGTAAGGGGGACTTAGGTTCTTAACTGCGGGGAATGTTCTTGCTGGTTCCTTACCCTTGGTGACTCTTACAGAGGTGCTAGAAAATTATTTTCTTTGGCCACTTATGCAAGAGGCTCGGTGCAGAAGCTGAAGGCAGTGTGTGCGCACGCCCGCACTGCACACGCGCCCCGCCCCATCAGGTGGTGCCTTTGGAGCACTTTTGTGTAGGAAGGAATTCCTGCTGAACTGCAGCTCTCACTCCCCCCGAATCACTGAGCGACCCACGGCCCAGTCCCTGCTGCGTTCGGGGGGATGCTGTGCGCGTCGCAGGGCAGGATTGGGTTCCGAAGAGCAAAGACTACTGCTGACACCTGACTTGGTGGTTCTCCTGACTTCTTATCTCCTGAAAAATGCTCCTACTGTTGGTGTGTGTGTTTATTTTTTCCATTTTGTGGAGGTTTTTCATCCCAACTTCCTTTGACTTGGCAAAGAACAGATTGATGATTGAAACCGGGAAAACTTTTCCCCTCTTTAGTTTTCTCATGGAGCTCTGCTGCATTGCCCCTGCACGGGTACCACCGGAGGAGGGTCTGAGGCCGCCGCCTTCTCCCCTGGCCACAGACCTCCTTTCCCCGGGCGGCTTACAAGGTCCTGACCCTGAGCCCCGCGCGGCTCTCTGACCAGAGGGCGCTTGCCAGCTGGGCACGGGGCCCACAGCGCCCCTGAAGGCCTGCGGGCAGGAGTCTGTTAGCGGTGCTCCCACTGGGGCCGTCTGAGTGGTATTTGTGTTCAGGGTGTTTCTAGACTATGGAAATGAGCCCATGGAAAGCAGATGAGTTGGTGAAAGTAGATGAAGAGGAATGAGATAACTTGGAAATTAGATTCCCCCTTTTGTCAGGGTACTATCCTTATAGTATGAATCTGTACCAGAACACCCCCCAAAGACCGGGTCAGCACAGCTCCCTGAGCCGCCTCTCATGGGAGTGCCGGCTCCCGCCGGGGGCTGGGGCGCCTGCTGACGTCTCTCGTGGTCCCCCTTCATTGTCCGCTGTGTCTGCGAGGGGGCTTGGGGTCCTGGGTCTGCCTCTCCACCCGCGGCGTCAGGAAGACAGGGACATAGATACAGTGCGTATTTTCGCTCGTGACCCTCCAAGTAGGAGGCAGGCACATGATATTAAGGGCCCGAGACATTTTAGTCCCCTGGTTGATTTTTCTTTTGTACTTCTGTCTTCCTATTTTATTTCACAAAATATTTAATTACCACCCTAAATTTCCTCTCGTCACCCTTCACCTTCCCTAAAATCCCTCCAAAATCAGTGAACTGCAAGCAGGGAAACTAACAAATGTCCATCCACCTTTTCTATGTGTGGTGTGTTTTTAATGTTTTTTGTTTAACTAAGCTTGAACCAAAGTCAATTTTTTAGCAAGCTGCTGTACTAATGGACTAGTTTTTAACGTGCAGTTCAGACACATTGAGGAGATAGATGCTACTGACAATTTCCTTTTTCATTTGTCTTTATTAATTTTATATAAAAGTTGCTGCTTGTTTTTAATCTTTTATGTTGGTAAATTTTAATATCCTCTGGGCAGACATTAACTTGATTTTTAGGTAGTTTATTTAGTTTGGTGTGTAACTAGAATGGCAGTGTCAGTTACTAATTTTCCTTCTCTCCATCCAGCTATTTTTCTGGTGTAGTTAAGTTTAATCTCTTCTCCTGCCTTGACATCTCTAACTTTAGTCTGTGCAAGTGATATTAGGGCTGTCAACAATGCCGTAGCTGCCCCTGGGGGTGAGCCCTCCCTTGGGAGTGGTTAGCTAGGAGGAAGGATTCAGGGAGGGAAGTGCTGATGCCCGCCGTACTGGATTAGAGGTTAACAGCATTAATTTCCCCAGATTTCTACCAAAGCAAAGTGTTCAGTCCAGGGACCCCAGCCCAGTGGATTATGAAAAGGGCCAAGGAAAGGCTGTCTTGTTTCTTTGTTTGCCTGTGTGATTGAAAAGATGTTCCCCTCTCCCAAATGAGATTCACAGACTTTAATAGTTAAAGGATAGTAAGCTTTAAAAGTCAGTGCGATGGTCTTCTGTTTCCTGCCCTGTCTGTTTTCTCTAGTCAGTTTGGGATAAGGAGATGCTGCCTTTGTGTGTGTGTAAGATCACTTGATGAGGGTCAACCTTAAACCAGCACAAAAATCTGTGTCCAAAAGAAGAAATAAATCCTTAGACAAAGGTAACTTTACACATTTTTCTCTTCTCTTACTTAAAAACAAATTGTGAAATGGAAGGTACATTTGTACATGTACAATGTGAAACACTAAAACAGCTGTTGATAGGTGTTTGGGTTAAAATCAGCTCCCCAGCTACACCCCTAGGCAGTCTGCTGGTCACACCGCCTCATGACCCAACCTTATTCCTTACTCCACATCACATTTTTTATCATCTCAAGAAATGCTTTTTGAATGGAATGAATTGCCTAAGCTTGGGTTCTCAGGCATGACTTTCAGCCACCTTATACGGGAGAGCCTGGGATCACGGGGGCATATGACCAGAGAGGCTTTGGCAGAGTCCCCGCATTTCTAGGCAGAAGGGCCGATAGGCATCACAATTCACTATGTCGTTCTTTCCCCTCCATAATGTCTGTGCAAGTTTTCTCTCACCCCTGCACTTGGTTAACTCGTGTTAAGCCAAAGACTGATTCTGGATGAGTGTGATACTGTATCTGCCCGTGGTGACCTCCCTGGGGACTGGGGAGTGGACTTGTCTGAACCCTGGTTGTTACAAGCAGGCAGTTTGGTGGTGAACTTTATTTATACCCTGAATAAATCTGAAGGACAGAGCAGAAATACCTTGAAAAGGACTTCGCATAGGAACAGCATCACTGTTTCTGATTTAGGAAATAGGTTTAGTGCTGCATTGGCTTCAATGTTTCTGAAGTTATATAGGCAGCTTCTTAGAATTAAAACAAGTTCATATCCATTACCTGATACAATACACAATTCCTTTTATTTATTTTTGATAAGGATCAGTACTTCCCAATTTACTTACTACTCAAGAAATGGAACCAAAGGAATCCAACTCTTGTTGGCCACACCTGTTTGTATTTCATGGTAGTACTATTAGAAACTAGGATTTTTTTTTAAAGGAAAATAAGATGAAAGATTTTTAGTGAGATTCTCTTGCCAATTTGTTCTACGTAATTAATTGTTGGGGGAAAAGCACAATTATACCTCTTTTTTATGTTAGTTTGTCCTTCATTTATTTGGGAAGGTGGGCAAAACTCTGTCTATATTATTCAGAAGCACAGATACTTGCTTGACACAATATTTAAATTCAGCGCAATCTTTAACATTAAATTTTCTATTTAAATTGCTGGGAAAGCTGGATACATTTGCAAATAGAGGAAATTAATGCAAATTTTTAAGCTTATAAAACCCAGTAATAAACATTGCAGTTAGTGATAATAAACACTTGGCCTACAGAAGACAGACACTCTTTGTAGTTCATAGTGTACACTTGTTCTCAAAACATGTCGTCCTCACAAAATTTCTTTACCAAGAGAAAAGTAAAATCATGGAGCTACAAAGACAGAAGTGCTGAGGGGGAGAAGTCAGCGGCCGCCCGGGAGCAGCAGGCCCCCCAAGGTCAGGCTGCAGTCTGAAGGCCCCAGTTAAAGAAGAGCCTTCAACAGTTCATTACAAGAGTTTGGTCAAATGTTTTTACTAAGTCAGCTTCAAAAATTGGTGAACTTAAAGTTTGTTTATCCTTCAAAGCATGTTTATTGGACCTGAAAATGTTAAAAGACCATCAATACTAATGGAGAAAAAGACTAAAGATCTGAAATTTAAAATTACTCAAATGGGCAAGAATTAATGGATCGATTTGATGCTGACCCATATGAGTTCATTTGTATGTCTGTGTGCTTGAAAAGCATTTAATATGTGGCAGTGTTCGTGTAATCATAGCCCTGGCCATTTTGAAGTCATTTTCAGTCTTCAGATATTTTGAGGGCAACATTTTATAAATAGTAAATCTTTCTTAGCATTTACCTTCATTTTTGAGAAGGAAAAAAAACCCTGCTTTGCTATTCCTTTAAGAAGAACTAAGATCAGCTATTACACAGGTTTGCATAGATGGCACACACAATACAGACATGAACTTGGACAGAAATAGGACATATAAATAGTTCCATTGTTAAAGGCCCATGCTAATGCTATCTGTATTTTCTTAATCCAAAGAGAATAAATGGGACACCCCTGAGATTTCCAGTAAGATACTTGGAAAGATTCAAGCAGGAGGCAGGGAATAGTTTTTTCTCAGTCAGTCCATTTTACACCCGTGTTTCCATAGTTTGTGAACTGTTGCTTTCTTTCAATCATCCTTAGTTGTGAGGCAGTTCCTTGTTTTGGCTCTTCTCATGGCCTTTGCTAAAAGCGGTGAGCTTGAGTGAGTCTTCTGTCGATCCTGAAATCTGGATCCCCTTCCCTCCCTTCTCCTCCTTTCCTCTCTGAATGGTGATGGTGATACCTTAGTTCAGGAGGATGATGCTGGTGGGTAACAGCTAGCTTCTGGCACCTTCATAAAATACCTCAGCATAGCTTAGCATTGTTGCAGAACTGGTTTAAAACTGAAAACCAAATAAATGAAAGAAAATAACTTTATAAATAGTGAAAATAATTCTAGCTGTAGCATTTAGTTGAACTGATGTTTATTATGATTGATCAAACATGATTGATGCTGTATGCATTTGGGATCCTGTTTATAGATCACAGTTTCTAGGGTTGGGGAGGGCTGGGGTGGGGGAAGGGGAGGTGTTGATCATGTTAGAAGGAAAACGTTGCTCATGCGTGTCTGTTGGTTTTTCCTTATCTGTCTTGCCAAAGGGAACTTAACCATCCCTGGGACAGTTTGCCCCTGGCCTGCCTGTGGTCTGACCTGCACTGCAGTGTGGTGGCGGCAGGTCACACGGGCTGTGCTGTGCGTTAGGTTCAGGGTCCCCTGGGGCGCTTGCATCCCGTCCTGTGGCTACCCTGCCCCCCAGGCCCTGCCCGCTGTCCTAGGGATCCATTACCTCTGTACGCAGCAAGGGCTTAGGCCGCGGATGAATGTGGGACTGTGTGGGCGTGTGGCCGACAAACAGGCAGGAGACCTGCGCCGCTGGGGAGGTGAGTGGCGCTGCATCTTAATCCAGGACGACTAAAGCAGGGGGGGCTCCTGGCGCCGCCCCCGCCACGTTGGAGGTGCGGGTGGCAGGGCCACGGTTTGAGACCTTACTTCCTTTTTTCATGCCAAGGCTGATTCTGTCTAGACCAGAAATGCAAACAACAAAACCCAACCAAGTTGAAAGCCAGCCTGCTTGCCTCACGCCTGTGACCAGGTGTGACCTGTAGGGATTGGTCGGCTGCTGAGACTGCGGAGAGGGTGGTTCTGGGTGGGAGTGCGAGCGCCAGGGGATGCCGGCGTGGGGACGGTGAAGCGCCCGTGCCCCCGCCACACTGTCTTGCCTCCCCAAGTTCAGGTACAGGCTAAGCCAGCACGGCTGTCTTTGAATAAATGACCCATCTCACAGAACTGAGTGGGATTTGGTTGGAATAACTGGGTCATTGTTCACCCTGACGTCTTGAAGACAGGTGGAGGGAGAGGGAGCAAAACGTTGCTGGGATTCGGAAGAGCCTCCCTTTGTCTCTCCCCCTTCTCCACTGCCCCCTCCCCGCTTTTTGAAGGAAGTCTTCGCTGACCTGCTTGGCAAAGAGATGCTTACAGTTTCCCTCCGCCGGCTCTGGGGGCGGCAGGCCGGCTGGTGTAGCAGAGATGGTCTTGGGATTGCTGGGAAACGGGGAGGGCAAAGATGGGGTAGAATTCTCTCTTTTATTTCCCTTTATTAACACTTACAATAGAACCAGTACAGCCTGTTTGAGCTCAGACGGTGTTAGATGTGCCGCCTCTGTTATGTCGCTCGGGAAGGCGAAGCGTTTTCAAGAGCACGATTACTTGGAAAACCGAGGCCTTCCATCATCCTCCCCCGGAACTGTATTGTTCCACAATGTTTTTATACACAGGCTGCGTAGTTTGTTGTTTTGGTGTCGTATTGTTAGGACACAGAAAGGGAAAGATGGAAAAGAAATGTGTTGCTCTCTTAATATTCCATCAAAAAATGATCAGGTTGCAGAAGTTCATGAAAGCTTTACTACTAATCTCACTGTTCTGATCTTATGTAAAAGTGGTGTTAATATTGTGTGACTCTTCGAAGCGCTAGGTAGGTTTGTAAGTAGGTAATAGGGATACCGAAGATGAGAGCACTTGGAACAGGTTATGGGAAAGCGGGGTGTGCACGACGGGACCCCACTTGGAGCACAGAAGGGAAATCCCGGGGCTGGGCAGGCAGGTGCAGCTTGCAGTTCTGTGTCACTGATCTGCCCGCGCTGCACGGGGCCCAGCCACCCAGTACCACCTCCGGGTTCAAACCCCAAAACAAATTTACTGTGAGAAAACAGGGAGATCTGCAGCGAAGTTCCCTGTGTTCTCTTTGTTTACTTGTTCACCGTTGTTCTGAATCAGCCACAACCTCACAGAAGCGGCTTACGGCTTCTTCCCTAACTAGGCAGCAGCACAGAGTTCTCTACCATCATATCCCCGGTCTGCAGGCAGACAGCTGGATACAGTGCTGTTGAAAATGACACCTCTAAGTACTTCTTTAAAAATGGGGATCTCCTTCAAATGAAAAAAGACAGAGCCAAGTAGGGAAAAGACTGTGCTCCCCCCACCCCCCAAGCTTTCACAGTGTCTCAAAGTCTGAAGAGTAAAGCAGGAAATGAAATGCACTTTCAGAAGCTAAAGTGACAGCTGTGTTAGGAGAGGCTGTGGCCCGAGGCGGGGAGGGCCCCATGCCCTTGGTCGCAGGGCTGCACGTCTGCAGAAGGCACATACTTTTTTCTAAGAGGAGAGCAGACCGAGGCCGGCCTGGCTGTGTTTAAACCCGCGAGGAGCTGGGAGGGGGAAGAAAGGAGGGGGGCCAGGCGTGGAACCACACTGGCGCTGGCTCCTGCCCCCACCCCGGCTGCCGGGCATCCCTGAGGCCAGCGGTGGGCAGGGCAGATGCCCCTGAGCTCCACCCCTCTGCCCGAGTGGGCATGTGGCCTGCTCTGCCCACAGGCGGTCCCTCCCAGGAAAGCCCTCCTCTCCAGGAGACCAGGGTCGGCTCCCCCGTCCGCGGTAGTAGCGAAGCCTAGGTGAGTAAGCGTGGGTTCCCACCCACCACGTCCAGGAGCTGTCTATACCTCATGTCTAACTCGTGACTGGGTACCTTGCTGTAACTTTCTCTAAACCCGACAGAGTTGCCAAGCCCGCCCCCCCCTCAGCCATGCTGAGCTCTGGCCTATAGCATCACGGGACCTGTAGCCTAGGGTGGGACCCCCGAAAGCCTCTGAATGTCGCTGCTGAAAAGCTACTGCAAACCGAGGGCAAATTGCAATCTCTGATTCCTTCCGTGCGCGGGGCCTTCTCAGGCCTCCGGCCGCCCGCCTCCCGGCCTCCGTCCCGCAGGGGCCGCCGCGCACCCCTGTTCTCGACGCGGGCCGCCAGGCTCCGGGCACTGCCTCATCCCCTCCGAGGCCTCAGGGTTCTGCTTATTTTCAGGACTTTGGGTGGAAAGGAAAAGACACCAAAGGCTCCTTTACGCTGACTGCTGCATATACATCTCACTTTTTTTTCCTTTGACATGACCAAAAAAAAAAATCCAAATATTTAAGTTTTTATTATTATTATTATTATTATTATTTGACAATCTTGTATCCCGTGGGCTCTCCAGAAGCTGCATCCCCAGCCCTTTCGCCTTTTCTTTGAATGTAGTTCCCAGCCTTCAATTCCCACCCCCAGTGTTGGAAGGAAAAGCTTTGCCAGGTCTTAATACTGCTGCTATAAGCCAGGGTAGGGGGGTTTCTTTGTTTTGTTTTGTTTTGTTTTTTTAAATTTCCAGCCAAAACCAAAGATTTCTTAATGATTGTATAAACTCAAAACAAACAAAAAAACCAAAGAAAAGGGGAGTCTTCAGCATCAATCCGGTCTGTGGCGTCCTGGCGTTTAGAGGAGTGGGGCGGGGCGGGTAGGGGCCTCTGACCTACCAAAAGGACAGGGGGCTCCTGCGCCCCTTCCGGACTTTGCAGGGGTGCGCACCCAGGCGCTGTGGCTCTTGCCCACATGGGAACGTGCCCTGGAACAAATTGGCATTTGCGATTTTGCAGGACCGCATCACCACATTGATCCACGCAACCACCACGGTCTGCGCGGGGCCTAGGAGGGTGGGGGCTGCACGGTGGCCGCGACTCCACAGAGTGGGGGAAGTTGAAGACACGGGGCTGGCTGCTCTGCTGGGTGCTTCCACCTCTGGGCCGGGGCGGAGAGTGCTCGCCCGCGTGCCCATCTGAGCCTTCTTTCTCTTTCCCTTTACTGGAACTGCTTGGAAGTGGCTGTCCTGTTTGTGTGAAAACACAGAAGGATTATCAAGCTTTTCGTTTCTCCCGTAGTTTGTTTCCTTCTGGCAGCACCACCGTGCAACTATGCATTCGTGTTTCACAACCTTTTGTGCTCGGTAGATGCCTGGGGCTTTTTAACTCGGGGGTGGGGGGATTGCAAATAAAGGGACTTTTTACAAGGATCTTTTTAATCTCAGTTGATTGGGGAGGTGGGAGGTATTTGGTTCTAGGGTCATACAAGCTCTATCCCAAAGCAAAATCCAAATGTTAATAATATTAGCCTGATGCAGATACCAAAGATAATTTCTTTCCTGCAGAACCTTAGACTTGTGTATTAAGTACGATTACCCAGCACTTGCATTAGTCTAACCTCAGTAATTCCAAAGCTTAGATGTATATTTTGGTATATTTCTGGGATATTAAAAAAATGTCATTTAACTTCTTGTTCGTTTCAGTGTAATGCTCTTAAAGTCATAGCATGAAAATAACTGAGCTGTCCTATTCTTAGTAGTTTGAAATATAGTATTTTTGTATGTTTTGGGTGTGTGTCTATGTATGTATTAACATAACAATTTTCACTGCCTAGGTGTTCCTAATAAAAAAGAAAATGAAAAAGTTCCGAGTGTACATAATATTCAGTAATAAACTTCCACCAGGTTCAATTTCGGCTGCATATTTGCTGATTACCGTTCCCAGGTGGGATTTGGTTTTGTCTTAAATAGACAGTGATCCTATTTTTCTGAAGATGTTTTCTTTCTGTCTTTAAATTCTTAATTCCTCCTCCCTTTTTCTTCTCTTGCCTTTCTTTCTTTTTTTTAATGTTGATTCAGGGGTGTTTTTCCACTGTTGTCAAGGGAGGTACAGAAGGGGTACTGGCCCCTTGGCCTCCCAAAACTTTTTTGTTTTATGAACTTTAAAATGTGAGTTCGAGTTCTCTTTTGTGGAAACCTAAGATGTGGTGTAAATGATTCTTTCCAAAATTGCCCAATAGCTTTAATGAGGCAGTGACAATTGGTAGGTATTTTTTGGGAGTCCTTTTACGTTTCTCCTTGGATGGCACTGAGAACTGGGTGGCTATTTTGTAGCCTCACTGCCCTGGAGCGCCTGGTTAGCCATTTCCCCTCTGATAGATATTTTGTATTTCATAAGAATCAACTGACAACTTGGATGGAGTTCAGGACCTTGTTATCTGGGTCCCTGGGAAACACATTTTCTTGGCTTTGAAAGCCCAAAACACAAGCAGTTTTGTGTTGTGGGGAAATTAGCTGACACCTCCCAACGCCAGAGGTGGTGGGGAGTATGGTGCTGCCCCTTGAACAGTGCCCTGGCCGGGGTCCCCTCCTGGGGCTGCCTGCAGGGGCCGGGCTTGGGGGAGGTGAGTAGGTGACCCCGAATCAGAATGAAATGGTAGGTTTTGTGTAGATGCATTTGTCTGCTGTAATTTTTTATATATATTAAACTAACTGTAACTGTACAGTTCATTTCTGTTGTAAAACATCATTAAACCATTTTCCAAGTGTTTTCACATTGTTTGAGTTTCTTTGACATTGTGCTGGTAACACATTCCCACACGAACACAAGTTTATTTTCCGGGAGCCCCAGGAACACCAGAGACGTTCCTCGCGCCCCCCTCTGCCCCCCAGATGCTTGGGGCTTAGTGGGACCTGAGCAGCAGTCGTATCCTTCAGGCCCCTGGGCCCCTCACTGGTCCTGCACAGCGCCCCTCAGCCTGTCTCCCTGCAGTGCCAGCACGGAGGTCCCCGCTCCCCCCAGAGCACTGCTCCCGCCGTGCCCTCTGGCAGCCCTGCCGCCCCACCTGGAGGAAGCGTGTCCTGCACGCGGCCCCCCCTCCTCCCGCCTGCAGTACATACTCCATTCCCTCTAGGGCATTACACTCCTCAGCTCTGAGTGTCTCAGGGCAGTTAACTGGTAACATGAAAACTTGAATCTTAGAGTGAATTTCCCACAGAGGGAGCTTCAGCTTGTTGAAGAGCTTTGGGAGGCACTGCCACCTGGCTGGTGTGCAGACTGAATCTGATGTGTTCACCCTTGAACCCACGTGCAGAGCTCTTGTCTCAAGACGGCTGCTGTCCTGTAAAGGGTCCAAAATGGGAAGGCAAATACCGGGTTCCTCTCCTCCCTGCTCCGGTGTCAAACAACGTCTCATCCTTTTCCATTCCATCCTCCTTGTATTTACAGCTTGCACTAAAGTTTGTAAAGTCATTTCCTTAAAACCACTTCAGGTGTTTCACTAAATTCTGTTCAGTAGTGATGGTGGCATGCATGCTCAGCAGCACGCAAAAGACTCCAGGAAGCAACATCTGTTTGTCACATCCTAAGGAGTGAAGATAAAGGACCGAGGAGAGGCAGTTACCCTGTAGTCCTTTTGGAAACGCTGTGGTCTAACCCACTTCCTGTGGCGTCCAGCAAGTAAAGTTACCTGAGAGGACACGATCACCTGCTCACTGCTGTCTTTCCAAACACTAGGGATTGAAGTTACAGACATCGGCGCTTGCATCTTAGTCACAGGTTCACGGAAGTGTCCAGTGCCAGGCTGCCAAAATACGTCCTGAGTTCTCCACAGACAGCACGAGTCTGCAGCCAGAGAGCTGCCCGGATGACCAGGCCCGATTGCCGCTGGAGCTGCCCGCCTAGCCTGAGCTGGTCCTCTGCCCTCTGCACCTGCCAACCTGGGCTTCAGCGTGTGACTTGTTCTGTTTATGGACGAGGAGTCTTGAGTCATATTCCAAGAAGAAAAAGGATTCATCAGAAATATCCCCATCCTACGTCTGAGTTCAGTGACATCAAAGGGATGTTTCAAGAAATCCTGAGAGCTTCCATCTTAATTCGTACATGTGTGTCTTGGTTCCTCCGTGCAAGTAAAATGCCACGCTTCCTTGGTTCTGACGCACGCATCTTCATAGTCTGAGACAGGGCTGCATCTTACAATGGTATTTATGTTAAGTATAGTGTTTTACTTGAAGTAAATTGATGGCAGGTCTTTTTTTTTAAATTTTTTATTAAGGTATTATTGATATATACTCTTAGGAAGGTTTCACATGAAGAGACAGTGTGGTTACTACATTCACCCATATCATCCAGTCCCCACCCACACCCCAATGCGGTCACTGTCCATCAGTGCAGCAGGATGCCACAGATCCACTATGTGCCTTCTCTGTGCCACACTGTCCTCCCCGTGATCCCCCACACCATGTGTACTAAACATACACCCCTCATCCCCTTCTCCCTCCCTCCCCACCCGCCCTCCTCCACCCCTCTCCTTTGGTAACCACTAGTTCCTTCTTGGAGTCTCTTGAGTCTGCTACTATTTTGTTCCTTCAGTTTTGCTTCATTGTTACACTCCACAAATGAGGGAAATCATTTGGCACTCTTCTTTCTCCGTTGATGGCAGGTCTTATACAAAAATGTCTTGAGATTGAGGAGATCCAGGTGTGCTTTGGAGCAGGAACTGCCAGGCCTCAAGCGCAGGCCAGGCATGGCCTCCCCCCGGGTCTGGGCACGCCACTCAGGCCTCCCGCACTCACCCTCTGTGGAGGGCCGGCTGCACACCGTAAGTCCGCTTGCCCGCCCACCCCAGGCCAGCTCAGCCCAACCCAACCCACTGGCAGCTTTCCTCCTTGCAGGTCAAATTCTCACAGAATTGGTTCAAACTCTTAGGCCAGCCAAACTATCCATGCAGCCTGTATGTAACAGCCAGCCTTTAACTAGGTCTGAGGCAGAGGCTTCCCACTTGCACTAATAGGTAAACCAACCTGAGATTTTAAAAGCCCAGTGAGTAGAGGATAAGGAGTTAGCAGCTCACAGGTCTGCCGAGCTTCGGCCAGTGACTCAGTGGCTCAAGCAACACACCTATTCCCATTCCTTTGCCTCGGTGCCAGGTCGCACCCTCAGGTGGGTCTCCGTCTGCCCCTGCTCAGGGGTCCCTTCCTGCCCCAGCTCCTTGCCTCGCTGGGCCCTTCATCCCTTCACTGGCAGCCCCTTGCCCCGGGCCGTGTCCACGTGCCTGTCCTGTTGCGTGCAGTGTGATGAAGTTCTTTCAGCTGGTTGAAACCCGATGACAACATTTGAAGTCCCAAGCTCTGTGATGGTGGCCCCCATCCTCCCTGAAGCTTGCAAAGTGCTGGGCCGGGAAGAGTAGGGGTGGGGTATTTGTTGGGTGGAACTGAGTCCCCCGAGGCCAGGTTGTAAGCAAACACCTCCGCTGTGAGTTGTTCCATCACACCTGGCAGAATGCCTGTCCCTCCTGGAGTTGGAGTCCCAAGTGCTCAGGGACTTTTAACAGCCATGGCCTTGGACTTCTTTGATTTCCGTCTTCACCCAGTATTAATTGGTGGCTTGAGTTGGGGCCTTCCATCCAGTCAGAGGAAACGCTGCCACAGGCAGAGCCACCCTTTGTGAGGGAACCTGACTTAGAAGACCGTGTGGCCCTCCATCCCTCCCAAGCGCTAGGGACCTGAGGTCTTCTGCTGTGGCCTCAGTAGCAGTCTGAGTCCCCGCCAGCCGCTCCTGCTTGACTTGCCCTCCCCAAGCCAGCACAGGCCCTGGGCTCCGAAACCACCTCCCTTGGGCTGCGGAAGGCTTGGCCCATCCCAGCGCACTGTCAGCTGAGCTCCGCTCCCAGGGGCCAGGCCACAGCCACCAGCCGGTGGTCTCCTGACGACAGGTCTGCCCCGAGGACGGGGGGCAGCCCACCGACTTCCGATCACCGGATCGCCAGCACAGGCCCGACTGCTAAAATACACCTCAGGAAGCGTTTTCACTGGAGTATTTATTATGCATTAGCATCAGGCTTAGCAAGCCAGTGTAAGTTAAAACAAGCAGAACAGGGAGGGGTCCCCCCCAGCCACGTGCCTTTAATTACAGAGCAGGGTTCCAGAAGCCAACAGATGGTTCTGGCCGGGCCGCTGTCCTGGGGAACCTCACAGATCTGGGCGGCGCTGTCTCCCTTTGAGGCTTTCGCCAGGATGGGTTTGTCTCCGGGTGAGGTGGGAAGCATCTTGCCCCCTTCTCCTGCCCCCACCACACTCTGTTCACACTCATGCCCCTGTAAGAACAAGCTCCCCAAGGGCAGGGATGGGCCTGCTGCTCCTTGGGGCCCCACAGTGCCTGGGACACAGTCTCTGTGATGGGGAGTCACTGGCGACTGAAGGTGGGCCTCCGAGATGGTGCCCCTGCTCCCAGACCTCCCCCACTGCCCAGGCCCTCCTCCATCACCTCTGGCTGCTGCACACTTGGCAGACGTGCCCTTGCCACCTCCCCCGCTGCCCAGGCCTTGAAGGGAGGCAACACAGCCTCTACCCAACCATGAGAATTACAGGTCCCTTGAAGTGGGGGGCAGGCTGACAACAGAAGCCAGATTCACAGCAGAAACGAGCCACTCCAATACTGACAGAGCAATACAGACCATTAGGATGCGGGCTAACCTTTGGGGTTTCTCAGGGACTTTACACAGACTTAACCCAGCTGTGAGGAGGATACCCGTGTCCCAGGTAAGCCCAGAGCCCCTGGGGGGCTGCCCCCAGCCTCCCGCAAACCAGGGGACCTGAGGTCACACTATGCTCACAGCGGGCTCCTCAGCTAGGGCCATGCCCTGGGGTCACACCCTTTAGAGCCTCCAGGGACGCTCTTCTGTGGGGGGTGAGGGGGGTACTGGGTGTGGCCAAATGTTACAACTTGGAAGCACCCTGTTCAGAGAGGAATACCATGGTGGTGGGAAGAGGAGGGGACAGGGTAAATGCTTTTTCCTGTGTCTAACAGTCTGGGCGTCTGCGGGTCTGGCCTGTGCCTGGTGAAGTGCCCGTCTGGTTAGCGGGGGGGCAGGGCCTGCATGTGGAGGGCATCGTAAGGCCACAGCCACCAGCCGGTGGTCTCCTGACGACAGGTCTGCCCCGAGGACGGGGGGCAGCCCACCGACTTCCGATCACCGGATCGCCAGCACAGGCCCGACTGCTAAAATACACCTCAGGAAGCGTTTTCACTGGAGTATTTATTATGCATTAGCATCAGGCTTAGCAAGCCAGTGTAAGTTAAAACAAGCAGAACAGGGAGGGGTCCCCCCCAGCCACGTGCCTTTAATTACAGAGCAGGGTTCCAGAAGCCAACAGATGGTTCTGGCCGGGCCGCTGTCCTGGGGAACCTCACAGATCTGGGCGGCGCTGTCTCCCTTTGAGGCTTTCGCCAGGATGGGTTTGTCTCCGGGTGAGGTGGGAAGCATCTTGCCCCCTTCTCCTGCCCCCACCACACTCTGTTCACACTCATGCCCCTGTAAGAACAAGCTCCCCAAGGGCAGGGATGGGCCTGCTGCTCCTTGGGGCCCCACAGTGCCTGGGACACAGTCTCTGTGATGGGGAGTCACTGGCGACTGAAGGTGGGCCTCCGAGATGGTGCCCCTGCTCCCAGACCTCCCCCACTGCCCAGGCCCTCCTCCATCACCTCTGGCTGCTGCACACTTGGCAGACGTGCCCTTGCCACCTCCCCCGCTGCCCAGGCCTTGAAGGGAGGCAACACAGCCTCTACCCAACCATGAGAATTACAGGTCCCTTGAAGTGGGGGGCAGGCTGACAACAGAAGCCAGATTCACAGCAGAAACGAGCCACTCCAATACTGACAGAGCAATACAGACCATTAGGATGCGGGCTAACCTTTGGGGTTTCTCAGGGACTTTACACAGACTTAACCCAGCTGTGAGGAGGATACCCGTGTCCCAGGTAAGCCCAGAGCCCCTGGGGGGCTGCCCCCAGCCTCCCGCAAACCAGGGGACCTGAGGTCACACTATGCTCACAGCGGGCTCCTCAGCTAGGGCCATGCCCTGGGGTCACACCCTTTAGAGCCTCCAGGGACGCTCTTCTGTGGGGGGTGAGGGGGGTACTGGGTGTGGCCAAATGTTACAACTTGGAAGCACCCTGTTCAGAGAGGAATACCATGGTGGTGGGAAGAGGAGGGGACAGGGTAAATGCTTTTTCCTGTGTCTAACAGTCTGGGCGTCTGCGGGTCTGGCCTGTGCCTGGTGAAGTGCCCGTCTGGTTAGCGGGGGGGCAGGGCCTGCATGTGGAGGGCATCGTACGTGTCCTTGGTGGCCGTGCTGAGCCCCTGGTGAAAGCAAATGAGAAAAGAGTGGGTCAGGAGCCTGCGTGGGCACAAGCCACCAGAGGTCCACAGATGCCTTCTGCAGCGGGGCCTGCGACCACCCCCGCAGTGTCAGAGGCCTAGGAGCAAAACCCTCGGGCCACAGTGCAGAAGAGCCGGGCCTGTGCCTTGCTGGGAGCGGCCTTGGAGCGACCCCTCCCCAGCTACTCTCACCTCCTTCCCGCTCCCAAGGGTTCAGGTTAGCCAACCTCCTGTGGACGAAGGAAGGAGAGCCCCCCACCTGGACGCTTGGCGGCAGAAGGAAGGGCCCAGGCCTGCTGCAGAGAAGCGGCGGGGCCTGAGACCTGGGCCTCCGGGACCCGCACTTGTCACTGCCTCAGGGACGAGTGACTCCCGGGCCTCAGCCCTCCTCCCCAAGCCTCCTTCCCAGGCCACAGCTGCCGTGAAGCTCTGTCAGGGGACAGGCAGGCTGGTGCCCATCTCTCTGAACTTCTCCCCCTGGTCCAGGATTTACACACAGTAAATCCAGGGCACGTTGATGTCACTCTGAAGTCGGGGCAGGCGGGCAGCCTGACACCCCGCAGTCAGCCCAGTGAGCTGTGAGCCCCGTGGGCCCAGGAGGGAAGTCAGACCCTCGGGTTTTATATTTTAAGAGAAGTAGGTCGCCTTTGCTTACTTTGCATAATTACACTCATTTGCTTAAACCGGGCACTTACCTGCAGTAACATTTTCTTACTCAAGTTCTTATTTTTCTTGATTTTTTTTTCCTTCAACCTTTCCATGCACCCACCCCTCTGATTAGGTCTGAGGAGATGAGGCACAGCAGGACTGGCAAGGGCCCAGAGCAGCAGGGGAGAGGCAGGGACCGTGCATGTGGCGTCCTCTGCCTATGCCCGCCCTTCAGGCCAGAGCTGAGCCTCCAGGCAGCTGCTGCTGGTCTGGTCCGCACGGCCTGCGCCCAGGGCTCCCAGGGCCTGCCCACTGGAGCCAAGTCACATGCTCGCATGGCTGAACCCCAGCCCTGCCCCGGGCCCGCAAAGGCAGAGGTGTCGCCACGGGCTGGAATGGGTGCCGTGAGCTTGCCCTGCCTAGCTACTGGCAGGACCTGGGGCCAGCCAGCAAGCAAAACGGGGCACCTGACCTGGCCCCTCTTTAGATGGCGCCACGCCGGGATGGAGGGCCAGCTGTGCGGACCGGAGGCTCTGCCATCAGCCTTACCTGGTAGAGGCCCTCATGCCCCTTTCCTCTCCGCCGCTGGTTCTGAGGACAGAGACAAGAGAACGGTTAGGAAGTCAGCCATGCTGAGTACATGACGCCATCTGCCTGGTGAAGCACCGAGCAGGCTGGCTTTGCGGACTGGCAGATACACCACCGCGTAGAGCCCCTGCCCCGAAGGCTCTGCTCCACTCCCATGGGCAGGAAATGCTTGATCTTTTAGGAACAAGGGGCCCCGCATGTTCATTTTGATGGGCCCCGAAGTCCTAACCACTGAGCATAGAGCGGCATGTATTAAGCACTTGATAATTTTTGTTATCAGTGATGAGGGATTTTACCTACTTTTGCAAAACTTCGGCTATCTTAGAATCCTGAGATCTTAGAGCATCAGCCTTTCCTTAGTATCTCACGTACCATCGAGTGGGTGAGATCTGGCTTAAACTTTGCCCCCCCGTGGCCACCACATGGGCTTTTGCAGACGGCATGAGGGATGGCCGGGAACGGAGGCCTACAGCAGGTGTATCTGGAAGAGCAGGAGAAGCTCCCTGGGTGCCTCCCCATCCCCCGGCCCTACCTGGGGACCAAGGGCCGCACGTACCTCCCCCTTCAGCCCGATCTCACTGTAGGCCTCGGCCATCTTATCTTTCTGCAGCACCTGGAGAAGAAGGGGGCGGGAGACACAGGCTTTAGCGACCAGCGTGGGAGACAGCAGGCCTCCCTGCAGCAGGAAGCCTCTGTGTCCTCGTTGGCAAGGGGCTCCCACAGTCGAGGCTCCAGGCCTTATTCACACAAGCATCTGACCCCACCCTCCCTCCTCAACCCTCTGGAATCTTCTCTGGGATGTCAGCTCTTTGCACTGGGTTGAGAAGCTCAGGTTAAGTTCACAAAGACATGGAGTTCTAGCCACAGGCCATGAATGTCAAGACAATGCAGGGGAGTCCCCAGACTCCTTTATTAAGTTAAGCTCCAGGTAGGCAAAGGCCCTGGGGCAGGGGCAAAGCGTCCTGGGGGGCAGAGCCCTCCAGTGCCACCTCACCTTTCTGAGACTAAACAAACCGCCCCCCCTACTCACATTGTACACGACGTCCTGCGGGTTCTTCCTCCTCTGCGGGGAACGACAGGGAAGGTGTTGAGGTGGAGAGGCAGGGACGCAGGCAGGGGAGGTGGGGCGCCCGCCCACTGCCCGCTCCCTGCGGCCACAGCCCTCCCGCCTGCACGCAGGCTTCACCCCACCGGGCCTTCCGGCCCGGCCTTGCCCAGGGCAGGCCCTGGGATGTCTGCTGATGGCAGGTCTGTCTGTCCCCTGGCAGATACACTGCCACAACGACGAGCTCCTCACAGACTTACAAGTGGGATTTTGGGCTGAAGACAAAAGGGTACCGAGAACGCCCCCTGGAGCGGGGCCAGCCACTGCCCAGCAGGCCCTGCCGACCCCGCCCGGTCCGGGCAAGAGGAGGGGCACAGCTGAAGCTGGTGCGGGGCGAAGGCCTTTCCTTCCACCCATGCGCTCTAGCAACAGCGCGGCCCACACAGGGCGAGCGCAGGGCCTGGACGAGGGCTAGGTGGGCAGGCCGCGGGAAATCAAGGCCAGGGCGGCCGGGGCCTCCGGGCAGAGCCCGCTCTGGAGAGGCCCCCTCCGGCCGCCTCCAGCTGCTCCCCTCCCCATAGGGCACGGAGTCTCAGCCAAGCGGACAGGGCCCCCCGCACCCCAGCCCACCTGGCTGGGAGGGCACCTGGGACCCAGCCTCGTGGCCTCTGCCTTCCTGCGGGGCCTCTTCACACGCAGGGGCCAAGGGCCAGCCTGGGGGAGGCAGTGGAGGCTGGCCGCGAGGCAGGGGCCACATTGGTGCAGGGGGCGCCTTGTGATGCCGAGGGGCGGAGGAGAGGGCCGGTGGCGGCCATGGGGCCTCGGTCCTCAGCCCCCGGGCCCCTCACACGGGCGGCCCTCGAGCCCCCCGGGCGCGGCGGAGCGCGGGCCCCACCTGTTTGCCGCCCATCTCGGGGTCGCGGCCCCGCCTCTTATCCAAAACGTCGTACTCCTCCCGGCGGCCGAGGTTGAGCTCCTGCAAGACACAGCGTTGGCGTCGGGCAGCCCCGCGGGGCCTCGGGCTGGGCCGCGCCGCCTGCGGGCGGGACTCCGGGGGGCGGCCGCGGGCCGCGGGGGGGCCAGAGCCGGGGGCCCTCCCGCGGGGACCCCCTCGCTCGGCTGCGGACTCGGGGCGCGGCGCCGCGGGCACTCACGTTGTAGAGCTGGGTCTGGGCCTGCAGGCTCGCGGGGGCCGCCGCGCTCAGGCTGAACTGCAAGAGAGCAGAGCGGGGCTGCGGGGCGCGCTCGCGGCCCCGCCCCGCCCCGGCAGGCCCCGCCCCCCCACAGGCCCCGCCCCCGGTCCGCCCCGGCCTGGCCCCGCGCCGTCCGCAGGACACCCCGGAGGGACGGCGACTGCGCGAGGCTCCCTCCGGTCCGGACCCCGGGCACTGCACCCGCTTAGTGTCCTTGAGGACCTGCCCCAGGCAACGCCGCCTCTTCCCCCAGCTCAGGCCGCCCAGGCATAGCCCGGGGCCTTGCAGGCCACCTGACAGATCATCTGGGGCAGCATTGTTCAAACTTAAAAGAAGAAAATCAGTAAGACTCTGTTTTTCAAACAAAATCTTTTGCCAAAGTTCGAAATCCAAAAGAGCAAGGGCTGGAGCCTCCTGTCCCCAAGTCCGTCCACCCCTGCCCACACCCGCCCCGGTCCCCCAGGAAATCAGGGTCTGCAGGGCACCCGCTGAAACCCCAAGCTCTGGGCCGGCCCTCCCGCTGTGGGGAAGCCCCAGGCTTTCGGGAGGACGCTGGCGGGCCTGCATCAGCTGCTCTTAATGGCCTGACGCCTGGGCCCTGCCAGCAGTACCCCTGCCCCAGGACACATTTGCGGGGCTCACCGAGGCACCCAACTCCAGGCTCTCCCTCCTCTGTGTGGCTCAGCCAGCCCTGCCAGCCCCCGGCCTCTCTGGGGTGCACACTTGGCTGACCCTTGCTTTACCCATAGGGCAAGCCCCAGGCACCACCCACACTTGAGACTTTCCAAGACGAAGGCCCTTGTGTACGTCCCTGAGTGGGGCGGCCCGTGACCTCTCCCCAAAGCCCGGTGGTACCCACCTTCACTCTCAGGAACAGGGCAGTGACGATAACGCCATAGAGGAAGAGGATCCCGTCCAACAGGTAGCAGAGTTTGGGATCCAGCAGGCCGAAGCTCTGTGCCTCTGTGCCAAGAAATGACACCTGTCAGCCAGGGCCACAGTGACCTAACACATCCCTGCCACCCCAGGGCGGCCTCAGGACTGGTCAGGCAGGTCAGGACAAGCGGGCGGCATCTGTTCCCTACACCCCATCGAACCACAACCTTCCCCCACCCCTTGGAGCAGCTCCTGTCCCAGCAGCAGACGTGGCACCTCGTGGGGAAGATGGGAGGGAAGCAGGACTGGTGGGATGGTGAGGGCCTGCTGCTCAGGACCGTGGGCGCGCCGCTCTGCATTAGGCCCCGTGAGCTGAGCTCTCTGGAAGCCTCCGCACGAAGTGCCCACGGGATGAATGGCACCTCCTGAATTGGGGTGCATAGCCACCTAAGGCCCATCCACAGGGAGAGAACAAAACTGATGGCTGAGTGAGAGCGTTTCAATGGCAAACTTAGTTCTGGAGTGAGAATTTGGTTAACTCCCGTCCTGACTCCTGGCTTCCTCTGGGCCCAGGCGCTGAGCGATCTCCTGCCCGGGGCAGTGGGGTCTGGGGCTGAGCAGCCGACAGAGGTACCTTTGGACCTGGACCTGGCCATCACCCTGCTCCGTAGTCCTAGTCTACAGCCTCAGCCTCATTCTCCCCCCCCCTCGCCCCACATCCCTGGACGCCTACCCCTCCCGGGGTACCCCTGGCGCTTCCAGACTGTTTCCCATCTGCCTCAGCACGCGCTGTTCCCTCCTCATATACACTCCCTTTCTCCCCTCACACCCCTGCTGTCCGGTGCAAAACCTGGGACAGCTTGCAAACTGCAGCAGCGTGTCCCCCTCCCCTGCCCAGGGTTAGGGGCAGAGGGCCCAGGCCGCCCACCTGCTGTTTCCCCCTGGGGCCACGGAAGGCATTAGCCCACGCAGAGGGAAAGGACCCTGCGCCCGCAGCACTGTCAGGTCCTGACGGCTGCGCGAATGAAGCAAGTTCTTCACCTTCTTTCAGCTGCTGCTTCTGTTAAACGGGCTGAACACCTGCACCTTTCTTGTCTTTACTCTGCCAGACACCACTTTAGTTTCACGCCTGTCAGACCCTCCCAACAGGCCCACACGGAAACTGAGCCTGGGGAACCCAAGAACACACCCACGCTCCCACACGCACCCCCAGAGCCCAAGCACCCACCGCCCACCACACACACACACAGCAAGTGAGCGGCCGCCCAGGACTGGGGACGCCCCCAAATCCCCAGGCCCCGCCCTGCCTGCCCTTCTGCAGGTGAAATGTTTTGGCTTCAAGCTCTGCGGGCAGGATATTCGCGGCTGGCCAGAGTCCTGACCAGGCCCCCGGGTAATCCCTCTGTCCTCAGACCTTTGACTCCCACCCTAATCCAGGACCCTCAGGGTCCCCGGCAGCTGATCTCTGTGTAAACTTCCCCATGGTCCCTGCTCAGAAACCGCCGGTGACCCGTCGCCCCTCCTCAAGCGCTGCTCCGGCCCTGCTCCCAGCCGGGCCGGCTCCCCCCGCCTCCGCACACCACCCCTCCCGCTGTCCTGGGCACACCACCCATCCTCGAGCGTCCCACCTGCCTCCCTGGGGCTGGTGCCTCGCCCACCTGCCACCTTAGCCCCTAGGGGGATTCCTGAGCTGAGGAGGGTAACAGCCCGCCCCCCACCAAGGGCTCTGCGGGTCTGGCTTGAGTTCGGGAGCTCAGCCTGCGTGCAGCTGTAAGTGCGGGAGACAATGGCCGCACCCTCTTCATTTCTGCCTCCTCCTCCGCCCCCTCCCCCCAGACACAGAGCGCAGGGTACTGGGCAGACGTGCCTCAGTGGGGGATTTTCAGGGCCAGGGCTGAGCCCCAGCCCTGGGTCAGCACCCCGTGGGGCAGAGGCAGTGCTGGAAGCTGCTGGTGGGGCCTGCAGCCCTCCAGGAGGCAAGCCACCCCCAGCGAGGGCCCCCAAAGCTGGGCACTTTTTCCCTTAGGACTGTAGAGACGTCAGTGGCCATCTATGGGGATGCTGGAGATTCAGAAGAAGGGCTGGGAGGAAATCGCTCAGCTGCCTGTCACATAAAATGAGACCAGAAAAATTGCTGGACACTGAATTTAGAACAAATAAGAACTATTTCTTCATTCTGCGCAGAGCCAGTGCAGTGGGGGAGGGGAACTGGGTGCCTCCCCGGAGATAAGTAATAGGGACCCGTTTTCTTTCTTTCTTTTTGAAGAGCAACATGATTTTACAACCAATGACATGCATGCCGTGTAGGGTCCCGCAGAGGAGATCTGGGCTGGGAAACACTTCCCAGCGGGGGTCTGCCCTCTGCTCAGCCAGACCCCTCAGGGGCGCACCTGAGGCGGGCAGCCATTGCCCAGAGACTTCCACGAAGGGACCCAAACCTATTTCAATTGTGTGATTGATTGATTAAATATTTATTGGGCAACTGCTCCGGGCCAGGGTCTGTTGAAATAGAAAGAGCCTTGCATTGGGCATCAGGTGGTTCCAGTCGTTCCCCTGCCCTACGCAGCTCTGTGGTCTTGGGCAAGTCACCTTCCCTCCCTGGGCCTCAGTTTCTCCATCTGTAAATTGGTGGGTCATTCTGTCTTCCTTGAGGGTGTGGTGAGAATCAAACGAGATAAGGTATTGGTAGGTGTTTTGTAATGTCCTCGAAAAGGACAATGCTGTCTAGCAGTCGGGAAGGTCTCCTGGGGTCCCTGCCTCCACGGGGCTATGGGCTCAGCTCCTAAGGCCGCGCACAGGGCAGAGGGGCCCCCCTCCAGCCGCAGGGAGCTCCCCAGGATGCCAAATCAGAAGCAAGAGCCATAAGGACTCCCCCCGGGATTCCAGCTCTCCCCAGCCTACCCACGGCCAAGGCGGAGACCTGTTCACCTCCCTTCCTGAGCACTTGTGCCCCTGCTCACATTTCCACCCGATTCAGCCCCTAAGGGGGGCATTTAATGGTTTGGCATGGTGGCTGCTTTCCAGGCTGTTTTGTCTCCTGCTTCCTGTCCTCTGCCCCAGATCCACCCAGCCAGGAAAGTCCTGGCATTTGAGCAAGAACCAGACACGGACCGAGGCTGCCCACACATCCTCAGTCCTGGCACGCACTAGAATCACACATCCCGACCAGGTTCTTATTTAATGGTCTGGGGTGGGACCTGGCATGAGCACAGACCAGTGCTTGGCCAGGGTTGAGATTCAGAGCTGCGACATCACACGGGTGCAGCCTTCCATCGGGACACAGCTGTGCCCTCCAGCAAACACAGATTTCACAGAGAAGGAAATTAACGCCTCAGTCCTGCAATTTCTGTGTACTTCTGAACTGTGCGTCCTTGCACTTCTCCAAGCCTCAGTGTCCTCATCTATTAAAGGTGAATGGTAACACCACTGTCTCAGTCAGTGGAGGGGAGCACTAGGATATTCATTACGGGGTGCAGGACATAATAAGTGCTCCATATGTCATCTATTGCCGTCACCATGATTTTTTTCCCAAAATCACCACCAAATAATCTATTGGAGGGAGAAAGGGTCAGATATATCAGGACATTTTTTACAGGGTGGGACTCGAGATGCAGGTCTGCACGGGTAACCAGATCCTGCATGTGGGGTGTTACAACTAACCTGACATTTGAAGAGCGGGTGCATCCTGATCAGTCACCTGGTTTCCCATTCAGAAAGTGCTACGTTCATATTGGAAAAGCAGTGTGGGGAAACGAGGACAGACCCTGGCAACATTCTCCTTGCACAGGCTGCACGCGACAGTGGCCTGGTGCACGGGGCCAAGCCCTGCTTGCACAGCAGGAGAGGGATGCTCCCAGCTGAGCTGCACCATGAGACCCTCTTCCATCCAGCCGGGGCCTCAGCAGCCATTCTCGGCCCTGCCCATCCAAGGCTGACTCAGCCATTCCGGGAAGTGATGGGAATTCTACCCCAACCCCCGCCCCACCCTGCCTTCCCCAGTACTAACAGGTGACCCTGTCCACTGCGCCCCTCAGGCCCCCGCCTCATCTGGGCAGACCCGCGGCCAGAGGGGAACCCGAGCCCAGCTGGGCTGGCACACGTCTAGGTGCTGCTGAGTTGAGTTACAGTTGTCTTGCGGGTTTTCCAGGATGACCACCGCTCACCGCCGTGGCCAGGCTGGGCAGCAGGCCCTGGATCTGACCACTGGGGAGGAGAGGGGGCCCCAGCCTGCGGCTGTCCACAGCTGTGAGGCCAGCCTCTCGCACACTCCCTGTAGAACCTACCACAAGCCTGGAGGTAGCTCAGGATGCCAGGGCCTGGCTGAGCTGGGAACCTTGACTCTGGCTGTTTCCCAGCCCCATCACCACACTGTCACCCTCCGGGCGGGCACTGATGAAGTGGGCCAGCACGTTAGGGCTGCAAGAAGCCACCCCCTCCCAGCAGGTGAGGGCTCTGCTCCAGAGAGTTCCCGCAGCCCCTCCTCATTGAGAATCTTCCCAGGAGAGCTTGCTGGCTGCTGCGCTTGGCCTCCCTGTCCCCAGATTGGACCTTGCAGCGTGTGGCCATGACACACAGGGAGGGGCGGCAGGGGGCAGGTCCTGCATCGTTACCTGGAGTTCTCCTCTTCAGAGCGCCGTCATTGGAAGCCTGCTGTGTCTCATCCGGAGGGAAAACCTCCTCACACCGCCTGGGTCACAGTGCAGAAGGCAGAGGACACCAGCGGGGATGGGGGCCTCAGAACAGCTCTATCTTTCCATCCACTTGCACATGTCCTCGGTGGAGGCGAAGAAGCTGGTGGATGGAGGCCCTGTGCCCGGAGCGCACTGTCCCAGTGGTGGGGGTGTCGGCTCCTGAGCCACCTGGCTGAACAGGTGCAGGCGGGGCGCTGTCACTCTCACACTCAGCCCCGTGCAAAGGACCAAGGTGTCCCCGGAGCCCAGGCCCCCAGACTTGCCGTCCTTCCTGCCGGCCCGGGAATGTGCTCCAGGCCGAGGGGGCATTGGGTGCTGGTGGGGATCCTGAGCCTCCGATGTTCCTGCACGACCCCAGGGGAAGCTCTGGCCTGAAGCCCAAGTGGGACCGCCCTG